GTCACCCATCACCACCAGCCAGGGCACCGGCTGTGCCACAGATGACAGCCATGGCACTGTGACTGATGCCTACCTAATTCTGGAAACATTGCTCCCATAGCCTTGCCCTAGGGTAAGGTGAGCTGCTATAATTATAATATGCAACAAAAATGCAGTGGCGAAAGGAATAGAGAAATGTATTTTTCTCTGACATAACAGTCCAGCTTAGGTGTTCATTTCAGCAAGGAATTCTCCTCAGGCCGCCTTTTAAGAACTGGGGCTCTGCACATCTTTAACGTATGGCTCCCAAGGTTGCTCTGGTCTGAGCCCTCCCAACCAGCAGAAAGGAGGGAACTAGCCTGTGGGAGAGATACACCCACTTCTCAAAAGCTTTAGCTCATAGTCCCTTGGTGAGAACTGGACACATGTCCCCACCAACCTGCAAAGGGGGGCTGAGAAGCACTGGCCCTGGCTGGGCCACTTCCCAGCCACAACTCTGTTATTGTTATGCCTTTTTATGGACAGCAAGCCATCACCTGTGTTTCTGTTGTGTTTCACAGTCCTACACCTTTCATAGTAGCCCCTGTCTCTAACACTCAAAACAGCTACGACATCCTAGCTTACATAATCTATACCATCTCCACCCTAGGCAGTTCCCTTTCCCATCTGTAGGAACAACTTTTCTAAACCTTCACTGCTCTTCATAAATCTGCTCACCCTCAGCCTTAAAAGATGACCTGCCCTCCTACTTCAGAGTTAAGATAGAGGCCATCAACTGTGACCCCTTCAACCCTCCTCCCAGCACAGCCACTCTTTTCTTTCCTTCTGTCCCAAGGAAGATGCATCCCTGCTTCTTTCTTGACCCCACTCTTCTTCCTAATCTTGCCGATCTCACCTGGGATCTGGTCCCATTAAGGATTTCTGCTTTCTCATAATTTGAATCTCACGATCTCCCTGGTAAAATGTGCCATCCTTGAGGATGTAAACGTGCTTTCATTTTGCCTCATGCTACTTTTATCCCCCCTTCCTTTTTTCCTGTTTAAACCAGATCTCTTAAAATACTAGTTTATGTTTACCCAGCATGCCTTCACCTTCCATGTGCTGTCTAACCTTTTGCGCTCCCAACAAAAAGGACATTAAGCTATGTGCAGGCCCATGTGCAGCCAACAATTCATCAACGTATATTTCCTGAGTGCCTTCTGTGCTGGGCACAGGGGGTTCGGCAGTGCACACAGAAAAAGCCTTGGTCCCCGTGAGGTTTACATTCTAGTAGGGAAAGGCAGGGCAGAGGAGTAAATATTTGTTAGGTGTGCATGTGATATGTGCTAAAGAGAAAAATAAATCAGGATAAAGGAATTAGGAGGATACTCATATCTTAAGCAGAGTGGTCAGGAAAGGTATCTCTGATAATTATTTGAGCAGAGATCTGAAGCAAGTGAGCTCTTCACATGGGGAAGAGCATTTCAGGCCAGGAAGCAGGATGTACTAAGGCCCTGAGGCAGGAGCATACTCCCCTGCAGTTACCCTGTCTGGATTCCACACACAAAGGCCAGTGAAAGGGCCCGCTGTGACTGGAGCAGAACAGGGGAAGGAGGAGGAGTGCCAGGTAAGTTCAGAGAGTCAGCCGAAGCCAGGTCCATAGGGCCTTCTAGGCGGTGGTGAGATTTCTGATGGGAACCATCGGAGGGATTTACACAGAGGAATGCCATGATTTGGCTTGTGTTTTAAGGAAATAACTCTGACTGCTCTGTGTGAAAAAGACCCAGAGAAGCACAGTGATTAACTATGGGAATCATCTAGACAGGACATTATGGTCATCTGGGCTGGAAGATATCTGTGGAGTTGAGAAGTGACTCCATTCTGGGTATGTTTCCAAGAGCTGACAGGCTGAGTGGTGCTGGGACTTTCTATCCTTCCAGTGGAGATTCCCTCCACACTCCACATTTCTTCTTCGTTATGGCCCAGGAGGCTGATGCATACAGACTACATCACTTCTGGCTTCCCTTTGGGTTTGCCCACGAGAGGCCTAAGACGGGAAGGCTGGGTGAGCATGAGGTCATAGTATTGTTGTCCTGACTTCCCGCCCGGCTGGTTGGCTGACTCTACCTGAGGCTGCAGCCCTCCCCTGCAGTTCCCCTGTCTGGATTCCAGGAAACCTTCCCCGCTCCTCCCCCCTTCACACCTAGGGCTGATGCCAGTGCCTGCTGTTGCTAGCTCAAGGGTACGCCACTATCCTTTATTGATTTTCCTCAACCTTGCGCACAGCGTTATAAATAGCCCCTTTAGTAAGCTTTCCTTAAATCCTTGTGATCTTGACTCATACTGGAGCTAGAGCATCTAATGTAAAAATAACAGAACATTTTTTATAACAGTCATTCACTCGTTTTTCTCCCCAGTAAAATGTTAAACCCTTGAGGACAAAAGCTGTCATTCCTGTTTCTGTTACCATGACATGAAGTAGGTAGGGTTTGCTACAGTGTTATCAATAGTGTTGTGATGTAATGATGCCCCTTGAGTCCTTAAGAATTGCCTACATTATGTTTGATATGGAAGAGTGTGTGTGTTTGTGTCCATCTTAGTGTTTATAGGTATAAGCTTCACCTTGTTGGATAATTCAGTTCCCTGAGATCAAAGAGACACCTAAGAAAAAGTTGGGCACCGATTTCTTATTACTCATTGATCTTATAAAGATACCTCAACAACAGTTTGTTGATTTTACCAGTTGTTTCTGAACTAGAAAGAAATACTATTTGCTCCCAGTTTTTCAAGAACATCAATCTTTACCAATAAAGATGATGTCAGTAATCTTTTTTCCCAGTAACTTAAAAGGTGGATAGTGATTTATTAAAGTTCCCTGTTAAGTGAGTGACCTTTATTTGCATGATATTTTAATAGCACTTATTTCCATTATATTTGGTTACATCCATTTACAAGATTATCAGTGTGATTGTTTTCCTACCATTTTGTTTGTTTGTTTTAGTGCTACATTTTGTTATTGATGTTTCCTGCTGATCTAAAAAATATTTTATCATCACATATTTTCAATTGTACGTATAATTCAGTGACTTGCCCACTTCTTTCTGTCTTACATCTTAACCTTGACTTCTTTCTGGTTTTCCTTTGGGCAAAACCTTAAACAGCAGGCTGAGCAGCCTTGAGGTATAGCTTTAATAAAAGCTTTGCTGAGTAATCATTTGGTGTAAAATCCCAACCAAATCCATTAGTGGAAAGAAGGAAGTAATATCTTTTCAAGGTTAACTTTCTTTGTGGCTGCTCCCACGAAACACACACACGCACACTGAATTCAATTAACCGTTGCTTGGATTCAACTATATTTGAAGTCCATATTTCTAATAAGGAAAACAAAAATTCCATAAGGTTAAGAGAGTATATTGTCAAAGAATTTATTAATTAGAGGTTATTAAAACTGTGGAGCTTTGCTTATGTAGAAGTGCAGCCAGTCTCCCGGGAAGATGCCTGGGAGAAGCCTGGGGTCAGGTGGTCGGCGGATGTATTTAACTGAAAAAGCACGCCCCTCTTTTCCTTCTTTTTCTCCTTTTTTTTATTTTTGACATTTCTAAATGTTCTCACAACCTAAGTAAATTTATGTTTTGCTTTTTGAGAGCTAGATTTTATATACTTTAAAGCAGTTATTTTGTGGGTTTTAAAATTAATTTGACAGTTTTACTTGAAAACTGAGGCAGCACTTGACTCTGCTGAAGCAGGGGCGCTTTTGAAACCTGCGGGGTGTGTAGCGGCTCTAATAAGAACCAGTCTTTCGGGGCGGCCCACCAGGTACTGCCTGGATGGTCCCTTCTCCTTCACTCAAGCCTGTTAAGAGGCAGATCATGACCCTCCTTGGAGTATTATTTACTGTCATTTTCCACTTGGAAGATCACAATCAAAATGATGGTTGTGAAATTGTGAAGCAGTGAATATGTGAAATAATGAAGAATAACAAGCACCGACTTAAGTAATTTATTTTTCTGAAAGTCTGCTAAACTTCCTATGAGAGAGTTTAATTTAAACCTCCCCTTTGCTGGGAGAGATGGCGATATTGTTCTCTGAGATCCCTCTGAGATCTCTGAGTTCAGGAGAGGGAGAGAGCCCTGAAAGGAACTGGCTCAGACACCCTCACCTCTGGCTGTGCCCTCATTGGGGAAGGGGGAGANATCCCTGTGCGGAGTTCAGGAGAGGGAGAGAGCCCTGAAAGGAACTGGCTCAGACACCCTCACCTCTGGCTGTGCCCTCATTGGGGAAGGGGGAGAGAGCTCTCTGCAGGCCCTTTCAAAAGGACACTAATTCTTGAGGGCGCTTCCTTCATGGCCTGATCCCCTCCCAGCAGCCCCACCCCCTAGTACACATCTGGGTTTAGGATTTTAACATGAATTTGGGGGGGGCACAGACATTCAGTCTGTGTAACTACCATCGTGGTAATGGAGCAGAAGCAAGAGACGGACGCATGAGAAGCGACGGGCTTATTTGTGGGGCAAGAGAACAAAGACGCTCACCTGAGACTTTCCAAGTGAGTGACTAGCATTGTGGGTGTAACAAATCCAGGACTGTCCTTTGGTTTCTGAAAAGTTTCTATATATGAGGAAAACAATAGGAATGCAAAGTTTAAAAAACTAATACAGATTAAATGTCATACCATATTATACAGTGTTATTTATATAATAAATAGCTAATAGTTTTCCAAAAGAAGGATTAGATAAGATCTTTTAAAGAACTTTCCTTTAGTTAAGAGAACTGTACCCTATTTTTCCAAGTCTTATCTTTATATTAATTTGTATCAGGCCCAGGGATATGTAATTCTTTGATTCTTGTATCCCAGGACTGTTGGTATAGTGCTGTGAGGAGCTGAAACATGAAAGAAACCTGTCGAAAATTAAACCGTCGCCTTCTGCATTTGATCCAACATACTATATATTTAGAAATATATATATATGAGATATACATAAGTATTCAGAGTTACAAATCATTTTACTCTGTTATTTCATGAGTATTTTTATTATTTGCAGGTTCGATGGATGATGTACTGGATTGTTTTTGCTCTCTACACTGTGATTGAAACAGTAGCAGATCAAACAGTTGCTTGGTAAGTTCTAGTATTGAGAAAGGACCAGACTGTAGACTTGGTAGCAGGTGTCCTGAGTTCTTACCCTGCTTTTGTGCTTAAGGAAGTAATTTCAGCAAGTTACCTGATTATCCAATGTCTCATTTTCTTGATCTGGTTTCCCCATAAGAACATTACTTTTCCTACAGTCCCTCGAATAAAGGCATCTCTTTCTTCCCGTGCCACTCCCTGCCCCTCTCCCACGCATCTCCCAGGATCTGGAGTGGAGGAATTGGTTATCATTATCTTTTTTCCACGCTGATGTCTTCAGGCTATTTTTCGTTATCACTTCATAAAAGACTCGTCTTTTGACCCCCATAGCACTCCCTCCCCATCCTTAAAACTCATACCTACATTCAAACTGGGTCACATCCACGGGGACACCCACTGACCACCAGCTCCAGGCTGCTCTATTCCAAACCTCTGGGACAAAATTAAAGCGTGTTTATATCCTCAAGGATTTAGCATTTTACTGAGGAGTAAATACTTAATGGGACAACTTGAATCTCCTCATGCTGCGTTTCAGCAGTGCGTCTCATTTCCATCTAACTCTTGCCATCACGTGGAGAAGTCCTCCTTGCAGAACCTGCAGATTCACTGCCTTGCCGGTATCTTCAGCTGCACTTGCTGCACAGACCTTCAGCCTAAACGAGCCCCATTGCTCTTCTTTACTTCTTTCCCAGGCTACTAAATGAGCTGAAAAAAATCAGTCAGTTGCTCATATAGGTATCAATTTGAACTTCACCATTCCTTTTACTTGCTTCTGATCAGTTGCTGCTTCCAATTCCCTCTTGTGTCTGTTTCGGTCGTTTACTGTTCTCTTCTTAAACTGTCTTTCTGACCTGGCTGCTCTCATCATATTCTCACGGTACATTAGGTCACATTGGATTGCTAGGAAAAAAACAAGTCATCAGATTTAAATGTTCTTAGCATCCTGCCCTTATTTATGAACTTCTCTGTACTGGATTTCCATCCGTCTTGCTCTTCCTTTGTGGTAGAGGGGTTTGGGAGAGGGTTTTCCGTCTATTTGTGTTTAAGCGGCAGAACACAGATTCCAAATCATGCGAGGTCTCTTAAGTGTCAGAGTTCTCTTTAAAAACTTCTCAGTTTTTTCTGATTGCAAATATAGCATATTTTATTAAAAAATAGGGCCTGCCGGGCATGGCTCAGCAGTTGAACATCAACCTAGGATCCAGGAGATCCCGGTTAAGTTCCCAGTCAGGGCACATGCCCGGGTGGCAGCTCGATCCCCAGTTGAGGGGAGTTTAGGAGGCAGCCGATCAATGACTCTCTCATCATTGAAGTTTCTCTCTCTCTCTCTCTCTCTCCTCCCTTCCTCTGTGTGAAATCAATAAAGATATATTAAAAAAAAAAACAACTGGCCCTGGCCAGGGGGCTCAGCTGGCTGGAGTGTCATCCTGTGCACCAGAAGCTTGCCGGTTCATTCCTGGTCAGGGCACATACCTAGGTTGTGGGTTCAGTCTGTGGTCGGAGTGTGTCCAGGAAGCAACCAATCGATGTTTTTTTCCTCTCTCTCCCTTCCTCTCTCTCTTAAAAAAAAAAAAAAATCAATAAAAACATATCCTCAGGTGAAGATTAAAACAAAACAAAACTGGACAATGTAGGAAACATTTGTCACAAGTGGTGAAAATCTAGAAATTCCCCTGGGATTACCCTGTCGCAGAGACCCTTTGCTGACCACACAGCCGTCAGCCGTCGCTCCTCACCGCCTGATCCCCACCTGTCTCTCAGAAGGGTCCAGGTTTTTCAGTTGTTGTGTATATTAGTGCTGCTTTGACCACAGGATGTTGATCCCCTCGTGCCGTGTTAGGTAACCTGCTGTGGTAGCAAACAACCCTAAAAGCATCATAAGTTAGAAAAACATTTATTTCTTGCTCAAAATACATGAGGGTTACATGGTCGCTGCTGCTTTGCTGGGCTTGACTATTTTGTTTTTTGGGATCAAGGCTGAAGAAGCACTTGTCACGTTAAAAAGCAAAAGTTTAAAGCAAGAGGTTGGTTGGGGATGAGGGAGTCAAAAGACATTTAAAATTTCTCCTTGCATGCGACATATGACACTCATACTCTGTTTGCAAAAGCAGGCCGTGCGGTTAATTAAACCCACGTCTCTGCTTGGGGAAGTGTGCTCAGCCTGCAGGGAAGGCACTGCAGAGTGGCACGGAAAGGGCCGTGGGTTAGGCCTGACCCTAACTCCCAGTCTACCACAGTGGTAATTGCGTTTCTTTTGCAAGTGAATGATTTAGGTCTGCAGAGTGCTGGAATTCTGGCCAAATAAGGGAGGGGAAGTTTTCTGGGAGTTCTGAGAAGGAGGTGTGTATCTGGGCTCACATTGTACACCTGGAGCGTATAAATCTAAGTCCTGCTCATTGGCGGCGTATCGGGCACTGCCATGGCAGCGGGCTCTGCCTGCTTCAGTGCCGCCTGTGTCCTCTGAACTGCCACACTCAGTGGCAGCTGCCCTCTGCTTGCTTCAGCTGAAGACTCTCGACTAGAAGGTGTGAATCTCTGCAGGGATCAGGTTGCTCTTTCGTTAACTGATCTGTATTTAACGAAATTAATTTGTCCATTCAAACGTAGGTGTTTCTTTGCTCTCTTACTTTTACATGTGAAAACGTAACATAGCGACTGAACTTTTTAAAAAGTTTCTTGTTACTGCTCATTGTCTGTAGTTTATGTTCATAGGCTTTTTTTTTCCCCCTCCAAATTTTTTCTTGTTAGGTTCCCCCTGTACTATGAACTTAAGATTGCTTTTGTCATATGGCTGCTCTCCCCCTATACCAAAGGAGCAAGTTTAATATATAGAAAGTTCCTTCATCCACTTCTTTCTTCAAAGGAAAGGGTAAGATACATAAATTATTTCCACAAATCATTTGTTAGACATGTATATGATCACATGCTTTATGCTACAAAAATTGTGAAATGATTACATTATGGGGGGGAGTCCTATTTTTTGGCTTCTGGACACTATACTTCAATAAAATTAATATCTGTGTGTTTGGGGTCTTTCCCCAGGAGATTGATGATTATATTGTACAAGCAAAGGAACGAGGCTATGAGACGATGGTGAACTTTGGGCGGCAAGGTTTAAACTTGGCAGCTACTGCTGCTGTTACTGCAGCAGTGAAGGTAATTTTTCATTTACATTTTTTATCCAGTGGCACATTAAGTCAACGGACAAAGTAGGGTGGCTTTTTATTTCAGACCACTGTAAAATGTTGGCAGAATTTTGCTTTCTGTTTGTTCTTGTATTACTGGGAAGAACACGTAGATCATTCTGGAAGCACTTTTACACATTTTCTATAAGTATTTTGAAACTCGTAATTGATCACAAAATGAGAGCTAAGTTAATAAGTAAAATGTAGCGGAAAATGTCATTTTGTCATAGCTTTCCTACTTTATAACCTTAAAATAGTTTGAGTGAATCACCTTTAGTAAAGATGACCATTCTCTCTCTCTCTGTCTTTGGCGTTCTCTCTCTTGGTGGCAATATCTTGGTAGGATTTCTGGCTTACTTCTGCACGCCTACTTCAACCAATTTGAGGTAACTGATTATTCAAAATAAGGCATGAAAAAAAATTCTGTTGTTAAAACTTGAGATTTTATGTAGCCAGTACTAATGTCATGTGTTGTGTTTTGCAAGCCAAGTTATCAAATGAATGCCTTCTGTGAAAACTTGCATTGCGGCTTTTGGATTTCTTTGCATGTAGTAATTAGTGTGGTTTATTTTAAATGTGATCGCATAATTGATTTTGGTGTGTAGTATATGGAAAGAAAACAGGCTTCAGACCCAAAAAGTGCTGAGTGTGACTTTCTAAATAACATCGACAATTTACTTAACTTCTGTATTCTGCAGTGGCTTTACGTATACAATGGGGATAATATACCTATCTGTGAGAGCATGTATAAAAGCACAGTGCTTGCCAGAATGTAGGAGGAGCCCAGTAAACATCAATATCATGTGTCTATCTCAATTCAAGGGAAAATTTGAGTTTGTTTGCTGTCATGTTAAATTGAGACTAAAGAAGTGCATTTGCTTTTTATTGCTTAGCTTTTGAGCTAGGCTTTTAAAATTTACTTATCTTGAACTACAACAACAATGCTATGGAAATAAATATTCTAGTTAAGTGGTGATTTTCTATAATAGCAATGGTGAAGGGATGTAAAATGTCAAGTGGAATTCTTGTTTCAGACTGATCTTTGGCTCAAGTATTACATCAACAAGATAAAAAATTGACATTATGTGCTAGAAGTGTTACATTGAGGGTTAAGTGGAAACATTAACCATACAGCACTATACATGTAAGACCAAGTCTGTTATTAATGATTATTAATGACCAGCACTTTAGTGTAGTTTGCCTCTTATTGGCTTTTAAAGGTTTTTGTTAGTATAGATATAAACAGATACTAAAATAGCAAAATTTTCAGCTTTTTAAGGATTGCTTTCCATTTTAGAAGAAGTGCATTTGCTTTTTATTTCTCGCTTAATGAAAATGCATTCGTGGTTTCCATATCTACTAAAAAAGTTCATCCAGGAGATCCAACATTCAACAGCTAGGAATTGTATAGTCAAAATAAGCGTTATCTCACAGAAATACCTCTCTGTAGAAAGGCTGTAAAAGTGGTACTATGCCCGTGCTTCTCTGTCTTTCTTTTTTGTGATTCATTGTTTGTTTTTTATTTATATATTTAACAACTTAAAACCACCTCCTCCCTTCAAAGGCAGGAAGCAGGGAGCATAAAAATCATCTAAGTGGCCACTGCAAGACAAACACTTATCCCATAATTTGAATTCCTTATAGAACTTTCCCTTCTTGTTTGTGATTTCATGATCCTTTTGTTATCAAGGTCACTGTACATGAGGCAGCCCTTGCCGTTCTCAGCGTGAGCACAGGAAGGTTGACTTCAGCCATCCCGGATTTTATTCATTAGAAATAGTCATTAAATATGCTGAACGTAACATCGTGGTAACATTGTTTGCTTCAAGTTGTACTGTACCTGCTTTAAAATAGGTGAAATTAATCTCATCTCTGGAGATGTCAAAGAAAGACACCGTGATGGAAGAATCACTGAACCAGACACTTCGTGCCGAGGAATAAATTGAAACTGAAATAGGAAATAGGTCAAGTTTGAGGAGAAACTGCAAAAGCCAGTAGTAGGATTTGAGAATTATTTAAAATGTTTACAATATATAGTTTTTTAAAAATACCCTTCAGGCTAAAAATGTTTGGACTCCTGGTGTGACCTTTAAATATTAGTAATGCCCCTGACTAGGTTTCCCAGGTTGAACCGCCTGAGCATGTTAGAGATGAAAATGGGAATCTAATAGAGCATTTATTACACCGTAAAGCAATTTTCTGAAAATGTTACTCAGTTCTATGACCTCATTACCAGGCATCTGTTCACAAGGTCAGTGTACGAGTTTATTTTGGCTGAGCAAAGCATAAACATATGAAGGACCTTCAAGGATTTTGCTGAGGATGTTCAGCATTCCGTAGCTTTTCACATGAGAAATGCAGGTGGCTTTTGTGCAGATGAACACTACTGCCGGATGAAGGGCAAGTTAATATGACTGTTAGTCATATTAACCATCTCTTAGAATTTTCTCTGGCAGCCTTTGTTGAATTATTTAGCAGATATTATTTTCAAAAAATCAATCATCACAGAAATTAGAGCCTTCCTTACAGGTAAAATTGATGAACTCTAATTGACTTTAAGTGTTCATGATTAGGTCAGAGATCCTGACATCTTGCTGTCTGCTTTAGTGGCTTTGTTTGTGAAAAGATTTGAGGATATTTAGCTGCTTATTAGCAGTTTAAAAAAGAAAGCAGTTGTTCAGACAATGGGGGAATAAGGTCATACTGTTTCCCTATTGTCTAGGAAGCAGAATGTTATAATGAATTCCATAATTCCTTAGCAGTTAGGTTATCTGCATTTTTTTAGCCCTGATCCTGCCACAAATTAGCCATGATGTTTGAGGCAAATCATCACTGATCTCTCTTAAGTATTCATTTTCTTACCCGTAAAACAAAGGAGTGAAACTTGACTTCTGAAACCCCTTATATCTCTTAAGAGTGGTGCTCAGTGGGGTTGACTTTGCCTCCCAAGGGACATTTGGCAATGTCTGGAAACATTTTGGATTGTCACAACTCAGGTGCTGCTACTGGCCTCTGGGGGTAGAAACCAGGGATACTACTTTGTGTCTTACGGTTTACAGAACAGTTTCCCTACAACAAAATATTATCCTTCCCAAAATAGCAGTAGTGCTGAGGTTGAGAAAGGATGAGTCAGAAAAAGCTAAAAGGATATATAAATATGTATTAGGTAGTTTTGGTGATGGATTACAAATAATTTTTCTTCTGTACGTTTTTCTCCATTATAAATATTCTTTAATAGACATATTTTGTTTCATCTTAAAGCCACTAAAATATATTATTCACTTAATTCAAATGCAGTCAATTCTGTTCTAGACTTGATCAGATTAATTGTTGACTGTCCAGAGGGAGAAGAGATTTCCCTAAAACCTGGGAGCTAGCCTTATCTGCAATTATAATGTGGTATGTCCAGGATCAGCAGAAACAGAGCTTAATGGCTGTTCATTACTGAGCAGTATAGTAAGAATCGTTCTTTAAAAGATTGTTTATATGCTTGTAAGCTTATAAAGCATTACTGATTATGATTTTAAATTCTTAATTAAAATGTGAAGATAATAGATTGAAGGTTTTATACAAAGGTGCTGAAAAGCACAATAAATTCCCGTTATTTAACACAAAATATAATTTTAATGTGATGTTTAACCAAGAAATAAAGTTATTTCAACAAAGGCATAATTTTTTTTTTTTTCCAAAGGAAAACCTTTTAAGGCAGAATTGTTTGGGTGTAAAAAAAAGGGTCCCTTTTCACAAATGCCAACCATGTACCTGGATACCTGAGTAGACATCCAGACGTCCTAGTGCCCTTGGATGTAAATGAGCTCTGTGTGGGGACTGCTTAGAGAGCTCTTTCTCAGCTGAAGAATTCTTCCCAGAGCTTCATGGTGCTGGATGTGGACCCAGCCCTTCCATCCAGTCAACCCCTATGGTGTTCTCAGTTTCTTAAGGGGATGTTCTGGGTCCATCCAGATTCAAACCCTGAGAACTTTGAGCCAGTGAAGGGTTTAGGAACATTTCTGCTACTGGTGATCAGCCTTAATGTAAAATATTCTACAGAATACTTCTTTAATTACTTTGATGTTTACATTCACATCATAAACTTTNTCAGTCTTAATGTAAAATATTCTACAGAATACTTCTTTAATTACTTTGATGTTTACATTCACATCATAAACTTTCTGTTACTTTCTCTTTGATTTTTAGGATCAATTTTAACATACACAGTGTCCATGCAATTCTGCAGAAAATAGGGTATAAAATGCTGGGATATAGAAAATCCTTATGGCTGGTAACTTTCTTTCTCCTTATCAGCTGAGACTGCTGTGTGGAACCCAGTTATTTTTATTGAAGATACAGACCCTTTAATGAAATAATTTCTTTTCACAATTCAAAAAAATTATAGTAGAACTACAAAGCTTAAGTGGGGTAAGGCATTTGGTTTCGACATATATCACTGACTCAGAATAGCTGAATCAAGACCTTTTCCTTCAGTGTAAAATACATGTTAGCAATAACCTTCAAATGTTTGTAGTGCCGTAGGCTTTGAAATTTAGAGATAAACCATTATGGATGAGTTTCTATGGTAACTTTATAACTAAAGGCAGTCATAAACTGAGACATATGTGAGGAGAAATAACTGTAAAAAACCACTAGAAGAATATGTTTAATCCAGCTATAAATAAGAAATGAGTCATCTATATGCTATGTAAATTTTCAAAGTGAGTAAATTTAGAAATTATTTTTTTTCTCTTTACAAAGCTTTATACTTTGAGGGGAAATCTAATTATGTCTGAAAGGCTCAGAAATGCCCCTTTCTGAGCTGTACAATGATGTAATCATTGAACTTTCTGCAGTGATGGAAGTGTCCTGTATTTGTATAATCAAATACTGTAGCCACCAGCCACATGTGGCTACTGAACATGTGAAATGCGGCTAGTGCAATTAAAGACCTAGATTTTTAGTTTATTTCATTTTAGTTAATTTAAATTTAAATATCTACTTGTGTTCAGTGTCCACCATATTGTTAAGATGACAAAGTCAGCCCGGCCAGCATGGCTCAGTGGTTGAGCATCGACCTAGGATCTAGGAGATCACNAATTTTAGTTAATTTAAATTTAAATATCTACTTGTGTTCAGTGTCTACCATATTGTTAAGATGACAAAGTCAGCCCGGCCAGCGTGGCTCAGTGGGTGAGCATCGACCTAGGATCTAGGAGATCACGGTTCGATTCCCAGTCAGGGCACGTGCCAGGGTTGCGGGCCGATCCCCAGCAGGGTGTGTGCAGGAGGCGGCCGATCAATGACTCTCTCATATCATTGATGTTCTATCTCTCCCTCTCCCTTCCTCTCTCTGAAGTNCGGGTTGCAGGCCGATCCCCAGCAGGGTGTGTGCAGGAGGCAGCCGATCAATGACTCTCTCATATCATTGATGTTCTATCTCTCCCTCTCCCTTCCTCTCTCTGAAGTCAATAAAGACATATTAAAAAAAAAAAATGACAAAGTCAAATTGCGTAGTACTAGATAGGCCTTGCCAGAGAGTGAATTCATTAACAGAATGTCATNGATGACAAAGTCAAATTGCATAGTACTAGATAGGCCTTGCCAGAGAGTGAATTCATTAACAGAATGTCATTTTGCATCTAAGATTCTTAGGCTCTTAAATGTTTTTAACCCTGTTCTAGGTAGAGACATTACCACTCCTGACTTAGTTTAGCTTAAACCAGTATCTCTCTTTAAGGAGTTCTTCTAAATCATAAACTTAAGCCCCAAGTGCTAGTTTTAAGAGAGAGCAAAATTATGGGCACTATTTACCCTGAGAGTGAGCTCATTATACATTTTTTACACTTTAAGTTTAAATACAAAGTTGAAATGCTTGGGGGTGGAATGGACTGATGTCTACAATTCACTTTGAAATGCATTAAAAAATATTTGATGGATGGATACATGACAGATATGTGATAAAATAAAATAAAAAATGTGAGTGATCTATGGTGTTCACTATACAGTTCTTTCAACTTTTCTGAAAGTTTCATAATAAAGTGAGTAAGTTTCATGATAAAATGTTGGGGGAAATGTTCAGTGTAAGCATACAAAATATTTTAAACTGTGCTTTTCTTTCTTGGATCTGTGACTTCTCTGTTAAATAGAGCCAAGGGGCAATCACCGAGCGGTTGCGGAGTTTCAGCATGCACGACCTGACAGCCATCCAAGGGGATGAGCAGGGGGCACAGAGGCCGTACCCGCCTCTACCAGAAACGAAAAAGAGAAGCAAGCCGGCCTCCGGTGAGGCAGCAGGTGGGACTCTTTGTTTCAATACGTCTTTCTTTCACAACTGGGATTTTGAGTCAAGATGGGTAGAAAATAATTCCTGGTAACTGAATTTGGGTAGACAGAATTTACTTTTAAGCTTGTATTTTTGAGTTTTCACTTCCCTGTGGTTAGTGCATGCCTCTTGTTGACTCTGGAGATAATCCAGTTAAGAAAGTAGCGGTCGCTGTTTGTGCTGCCACGAGTTTTCAGAAGCCTTGGGCGTGGTTACCAGCACCTCCCCACCGCCGGTACTAGTTTTGACCTGCGATCAGTACTCCCTGTCCTTAAACTGTAGTGACATCTAAGGAGTTTCATAGTTAAACATTCTTTACTATAAGTACTCTGAACAAATAAGGATATTGACTCACAAGATAAAAAGTTTTAAGTGGGTGACAAAAGATGACTCAATTTGAAAGTAGGATTACTCCAGTGGAAAATGTGTTGAAATTACATGTATTTCTAGCTCAAGAACGAACTTGTAGGCATATTCTAATGTAAATCCTGAGCATGTCATAGTTGATATATCCTAAATTTTAATAAAAAAAATTATCTTACACATAAATAAGAAGACATCGTTCCTTAGTCATTTTATCACATATAAGAAAGTTTTAGTTCAAGGCTCAGCTGAGAACTGAGATCTTCAGGACCTGTCTTATTAATGTATTATTAAGTCCATAAGGTACAGGGCTACTTGATGGTTTTGTTTTTTAAGTAGGAGTTTTCTTTTGAGGGAGATTAAAAGTCATCCTTTATAATTAAAACCAATTTGGTCCTGTCCAGGTAGCTCAGTTGGTTAGAGCTTCATCTGAATACGCCAAGGTTGTGGGTTCGATCAGGGCACATACAGGAATCGGCCAATGAATGCTTAAATAAGTGGAACAGCAAATCGGTGTTTCTCTCTCACTCTCTACCCACCCCTTCTCTCTCTCTCTCTAAAATCACAAATAAGTAAATATTTTTAAAATAATGAAACCAATTTGAAAGATAAAATAACAGTCTCTTCCCGTTAAGGAAAAATAGTGAACTTTCTTCTAAGCTCTCCCTCGAATGAGAAACTACAAAGTTGGTGGCTATTATCTAAGAGGTAGTAAGGGAGCATTGGCCATTGATTAAGGTAGTAATATCTTTAAGAGTGAGGAACCACTGAACTTTAAACCATCATCCTTAATACATAAATAATGTAAAAGTAGTTCCTAATATGGGCATTTTCTTAATATTAGGTATACTGGTTTTGATTATGGGGTCTGCTGTATTATTTAGCTGATTTGGACCAGTTATCTGAGCCTTTATCAGCAATTTATTCATAATTATACCTTAGAATTGGTTTAAGAATTATATTCCAATTTTTTAAGTGAAAACAGGATTATATATAGGAAAATCCCTAATACTATTTTTATGGTATTCATCTATTAAATTTAAAATGGTGTGGCTAAAGTATTTTAAGATAGTGAGGTGCTATTTAGTTCTTTTGTTAAAGTTCAAACCATGAAATTGAAATAACTGAAGATTTATAAAAGTGTGAAGTAAGTGGTGACAGTACAAAAAAGGGTATTTGTTCAGTTATGAAATTAAAATTTTAATATGCATTACTTTACCCAACTTTCCTACAGAATAGTATATATGATGAGTTTTCTTCCCTAAAGAAAAAAAATTAACCAAAACTTTCTCTCGACGATATTTTTAATAAAGTAGAATGGTTCCAGGAGAGGAATCAGTGAAAAGAAGATAGTAATAGATATCTAGAGAGTCTTGAGTCTGGATATACATGGAATTTATCTAATGAGAAAGGCTGCTTTTCAGATTGGTGGGAGAAAGATTAAAAAGTGGTGCTAGGATAACTACTGGGCTTAGAAGGTGGGATAAGGAATGAAGTTATACCTCTACCTCAAACCTCTGATCAAAATAAATTTTGAAAAGATTAAGACTGAAAGGTAAGAAATTAAACCATATAGTAGGAGTATTTTAATACTCCCAGGATAGATCAAACTTCTTAAGCATGACATCAAAACCAGAAAATGTAAGGGAAAAGTTTGAGAGATTTTTCTACCAGATAAGGGAAGGGGAAAGGCAAGAACCCTTACAAGCCAGTTATTGTCAATTTTATCAATGAATACACCTGATCAATTAATAGATGAAAAATATATTTAGCCTCAAATAATTTTTGTTCACCAGATTGGCAAAAAATATTTTTAATTAATAGTGCTCTGTTGTAACTAGCTAGTTGTCTATTGCTGTGTAATTAGTTACCTCCAAACAGTGACTTTTTTAAAAATCGTGGTCATTTATTTTGTTCATAATCCGGGGTGGGTGGTGACTGGGGCTCAGCAAGGCAGTTCTTGCATCTACAGTCAAACAGCAGCGGAGGTGGAGTCATAATCGGAAAGGCTTCTTCACTCGCAAGGCTGCTGTTTGAGCTGGAAAGAGACAGGCTAAAACAGTTGGGGCTGCCCTCGCCCGTTTGGCTCAGTGGTTAGAGCGATGGCCCTCGGTCGCTCGGGTCTGCTGTTGGATTCCGGTCAAGGGCACCTACCTCGGTTGCAGGCTGGATCCCCAGTCCCCGTCAGGGCGCATGTGGGAGGCAACCGATCAGTGTGTCTCTTTCACATCGATATTTCTCTCTCTCTCTCTCTCTCCCTCCCCCCCTCTCCTCCTCTCCCTCTCTCATCTTTCGTCTCTCTCATCATCTTTCGTCTCTGTCTCTGTCTCTCTGTCTCTCTCTGTCTCTCTCCTTCCCTACCCCGACTTCCTTCCTTTCGCTTGGGAAGGCCACAGGGACAGGGACCTTTGCACGGCTATCAAGTCAAGGACGGACTCCCCCTACGCTCTGCACGTGAGCCCGCGCCCGCCCGAGCCCACACATACCCTCGTCGCTAAGGTTTCCCCGTCCCTGAGGAAACCCGTGAAGTAGCCGACTCACCACCGATGAAGGCCGCGAGCACTCCCGCGGCTAAGTCCGGGGCCGGACAGCTGGTCGACCCGCCCCTCCGGGCGCTCGCGAGCCGGGGCGCGGGCCGCTCGCGCGCCCGCGGCCAAGTCCGGGGCCGGACAGCTGGTCGACCCGCCCCTCCGGGC